CTTTTCCAAATGCCAACTATGTACTAGAAATTGTGCCAAACCTTAAAAATACAGAGAGGAATGAAACATAGCCCCCCACACACAAATGTTCAACAATAGAAGATAACAATGCATGATGGAAATACAGCATGACAAAACTATTAAAGGGGTAAAGAAAAAGTGCTGCACCCCACAGTGGAGAGACCCTTCACCCAGTTCGAGAAAGGCAAGGAAGACTTCTCAGATGAGGTGATCAACAAGGATCAGAAGGGGCTGGGGATTTATCTCAGTGGTTCTGCCGCCCACCTTGTGAGCACAAGGACCTGAGTTTGATCTCTGGTACAATAAATAAATAATAAATAAATAAATAAATAAGGATCAGAAAGTTTCACTAGGAAAAGATACAGTGATTACAAGGCAGGGCCTCCTTGACCCTCCTAAAAAAGCATGTGGAAAAGAAAGGCTTACAGGAAGAATATAAAATGAGCCACCACTGAATTACCTGGCAGAAGTAAACAATTTTAGTTTATATCGTAGCCGAGGAGTCAAAAAACCCTTTTAAGGCAAATAAGTAGTGCAACCTTTTCAGAGATAAAATCTTTTCCACAAAGATGAATGAGTTCTTTCTTTCACTACCTGTCAACCTCCTATCCTAACACTGGCATGTGAGTCAGGATACTGTCTTCCCTCTACTCTCCTTGAACAACCTTCCACTTTCCACCCTTCCAGAGAATTAAATCCAGTAAGATTTGTAAATATCTGACTGTGTGGCAGGCATCCTAGAGCATGATCTTAGACTCATCTCCTGGGTGGACCTAAGGAGAAGATATGCACACAATCGCATTCTAAGGCAGACTATGGTGTCATTAACAAATTAAACGAGCATCTCTGTGCATCAGGAACTGTGAAAGATATTGTAAACATAAGTATTTGTAAGTCTGTCTTTGAGGAGTCCGCAACTAGTTGGGTTGAAGACATAGAAAGAGCCATGATGATAGGTGATAAATGTCTTGAGAGAGAGTACAGAGTGCTGTAGGGAGACTTTCAAGGGACAGAATGACCCTGAATCAAAATGGGTCAGCATTTCTGATAACCCAGAGGAGGTTTACCATCCTGGCCCTTAACCGTCACTTCTGAAAAATGATCTCATTTACATGTCAAAAAATGGAGTAATCTCTTGCACTTCACATCACAGTAAATCCCAACAATTAACTTAAAACTATTTTGTGATCTTTCCACATTCTCTATACATTCTCTATACACTGTCTTATCCAGGATAAGAGCTTCCTGGATTCTTCAGTCATACAGATTATCAAATGATTCAATGTTTGTCTTTTTTCCAGCTCCCAACTGTGGGCAGAATGTGCCTAAGTCTCAGCCTTGGAATTACTTAAGCATTTTCAGTCGCATTGTTGGGGGAAACCAAGTGGAAAAAGGTTCTTATCCCTGGCAGGTCAGTCTCAGGGAATATTCTCTGGTGGGTGGGCTGTGAGATGTCTTGAAATTGGATCACAAGGAATCTTGCGCTATGCATCAGTGCTCTGTTCTGCATACCTCTTTGACAAAAAGCTTATGTGTATGTACCAAGATTTGAGTCTCTCATGAAGCATGAGATTGTTCTGCATACCTCTTTGACAAAAAGCTTATGTGTATGTACCAAGATTTGAGTCTCTCATGGTAAGCATCAGTTGAATTCCACAATGTTTATTCAGAATAGTTACATGCATTGTTGATTTGCAGTACAAACTAGAAATGCCATCCCAAGCTTTCAGCCCATAAGACAAAAATTCTACTTTGGGTATCTAAAAACTTTTAAAATTTACTATTTAAAAAATAACGACTCAATAAGTGTATTTAAGAATACACTTATGTTTTATAGTTAGAGGAGACCAGAGAATTCATATCCACAGATCCACGTTGTGTTAGGGTGTAAATCTTTCACTTTATATAGGACTCCTCAGAGATTAGTCAAGAGTACTGCCTCCTTAGTAGCTAATGTTCTAAGAATTTTGCTTGAATTTAATCTCCTGGTCATACTATGTGATGACTTTGTGCCTTTGTGTTTCTGCCCTAAGCCCAAGGTGTTTGCATTTATTGTCTTTGAAAGTCTCCCGATTCTCTTTACCCTGGGAGCCATGTAGTATTCTTGATTCTTAACTCTGCAAGTAGAGCAATGCTTTATTTTTAGTTCTCCTGAGATGGTCATTAACTTTTAAGTGAAATGATTGATTGAGTTCTGTTCGCTGTTCTGGGTTGGCTGAAGAGCTAGGTCACTGTCATCGATCCACTAGTTAATTACTTGATTAAACACTTGATTGATCAGTTGGTTACTTGTTTAATTGGTTACCAGTTGGGTCAGAAGTCTATATCTAGATTACAGTAAGGGTGACTCATTGTTTATTACTTTGTCTTTATTCTATTCTTAGCTTCTCTCTGTATTACTGTTTTTTGGGTTTGTTTGGGTTTTTTTTGTTTTGTTTTGTTTTTGGAAGGGTGGACTTTTGTTGTTGTTTTGTTTTATTTTGTATTATGGTGTTAAGAATCAGGCCAAGGGCCCACAAATCTTAAGCATGTATTCTCCCACCGAGCTATATACATTTTTTTTCTTTATCATTAAATAATTTTTGGTCAAAAACTAGACTGATCTAATAAATACCTTTTTTTGGTAATTCCAAAACTGAAGATATTCATTGAATGTACTTTCTTGCACATTGTAAGTCATTTTAGAACCAAATAAAATATCATGAAAAGGATGAATCAAAGATAGAAAGTATGCTGGAGAGGCAGAATAAAGAATAACCTTGAAGAAGTTATAAGAGGCAAATTATTCATTAAATTTAAGAGAAAATGGTAGGTCCAAACTATTTCTCTAAGAAGCTTGGGGGTATTGGGTAGGTACTGAAAGGCTCCCTCACCTTTCCTTTTCCCCGAACCTCTTCAGCTGGTCTCTGCTACACTTTTTACACCTTTTTGAAAATTCATAGGTACTGTTAACATTGTTAGAGCCATAGATATGGGTCAACAGTGTTATAAAAGTAGTAAACAAATAGCAGTAATTCTAACTGCCAACTCTACTGAAACAATTATGACCAGTTATCTCTAATTAACTATCTCTCATCCTGGCCAGTGCTGGGAAAGCTCTGTTCTTCTTTCTGAGCTGCACTGCATAGGTTTTACCCCTTCACAGTCCATGAGTCATGATAATTATGAGTAAGATATCTGGGTCTATTTTTCAGACTAAACTCATCACCAGCTTTTGAAGATTCCTAGGTCATTAACTTGCACCCATTTGAGATCTTTGCAATTCAGGTGTCTCTGAAAAAAAGGAAGAAGCACATCTGTGGAGGAACCATCATCTCTCCACAGTGGGTGATCACAGCTGCTCACTGTGTCGCAAACAGGTAAGGAAGACCCAGCTCAACAATGAGAATCTATCACCTCTTCGCCTTTGGAGTCAGCAGCAATAACTCTGTTACAACATGCAGGAACATCATAATCGCAGGACGTAAATGGGATTTGGTGAGATTGCTGGATTGCAGACAACTTGGTAGAGAACATACATTCATTCTTTGCAGACATATTGTATTTGTTTACTTAAAATGCTGATTAATGAAGAATAATATCCAAGTGAGAGAAAAGATAGATTTTTGAAAAATTTCTCTAGTTTTTATAAATTTCACAGAAAATGTATCTAATTCATTATACATCTGATGAAATATTATAAAAGAAAACCAAGGGAGGCTAGTAATCTTCCTTCCTATTATTCTTACTTCTCTGAGCCTCAGCCTAGCAACTTCCATCCTTTGTGATAGTAGGCACCAAGGATATTAAAATGACTAAGACACAATTCCTGCCCCCAGACAGTTGATAATTGAAAAAAAAATAGCTTGGTAAGGTGGCACACTTGTAGTCCCAACCTTTTAGGAGAATAAGACCTGGGGATTGCTTGAGTCCAGGAGTTTGGAGCCAGTCAGGGCAACATAACAAGACCCTGTCTCATAAACAGGCAAAAAAACAAATAAAGAGTTCATCGATAATGGCACTGAATATGGCAGGTGGTAGACTCAAGGGTTGCTAGTATTAGGTTAGGTACTTAACATCGCCCAGATTCATGGAAGTATACCAAGAAAATATAATACCCAATTCCAATTTTGTGTAAAAGAATTACTTCTGAAAATGAAGAATCCCAATGATGTGAGTATCAAAGCTCTTGATCCATCCACCAAGTTCCTTTCAAATGACATTGTCCCAAGGATATGGGGTCTTTCCCAAGGCCTGAGAAATTTCTAAATTACAAACAGAAAGAAGGTAAAGAGAAGATCCTAACATTCCGTTGTGGTGATCATTCTTAAATCCCTGTGTACGTGTGCTCTCTGGGACTTCAGAGTTGTGATATTGCCCTTCATAATACAGACCTTGCATGAAATCTTTGATGCTGAAGCTTCACACTTATTGGGAATCACAAATCATTTCCAAAGCCTCTCACTGGTGTTGAAACTGCATCAACCTCCTACAACCACTGAATAAACTCCCCTATTGCTTTTAGAGCCCTGCCTTACAACGTGTATGCATCTCTAAGTCATATAAATAACAATTCAAAATGCTAAGTGAATTATATCATTGGCTCCATATGAAGCCACCCTCCACTGGAACCAGGAATTTCATTATTTTTTTCCTAATAGCATTGGATCCATTCTCATTTTCTCTACTCAGCAGTCTTGAACCTCACATTTTTCATCCATGCAATTTTAAATTGGCAAATTTGTTGACCATTTACAACCCCTCTCAGAAGCTCTTTGAAATCCTCCATTTTTCTGCTTCTTCTTTTTAGAAATATTGCATCAATGTTGAATGTCACTGCTGGAGAACACAACTTGAGCCAGACAGAGCCAGAAGAGCAAATCCTCACCATCAAAACCATCATCATACACCCACAATTCTCCATCAAAAAACCAATGGAGTATGACATCGCCCTTTTGAAGATGGCTGGAACCTTCCAATTTGGTACACATTTGAAGTGCACCCTGAGTTGCTTACCCAATATTCCGTATAATCTCTGGTCCATTGTACATCCTCTACAGTCCAGGCTGTGTAGCATATGATCAGTTCCCTGTTATGTGCTTTGAGATAGTGATTTGGACTGGTAGGTCCCTTACCCCGAGACTTTGTTTGCTTGTGGTTATGGATTCAATGGAATCAGGAGAGGGTCTCTGTCTGACAACTGACCCCAGGAGATTCTAGGAAGATGTATCACAACTCTTACAAGGTTTGGGGGGACCACCAGATCCTAAATGGTGAGTCATTTATGGCAGCCTTTTCGCCATCACTGAGACAAGCCCTGCCTTGTTCTTTTTGCTTCAGGCCAGTTTGTGAGGCCTGTGTGTCTTCCAGAGCCAGGAGAGCGATTTGAGGCTGGATTTATTTGTACTACTACAGGTTGGGGCCGCCTGACTGAAGGTAAAAAACAAAACAAAACAACTATGCTACTCCTTTTAATCAGATCAGAATTTACTGGTGGTTAATCAGAAAATAGAATATTTAATTTATTTTTTAAAAGTACTGTGAAAATATTTTGAAAGAGAGAATGTCACATTGTACTTAGAAATTCAGGTCTTTCCAGGGCCGGGGATTTAGCTCAGTGGTGCTGTGCCTGTTTTGCAAGCACAAAGTCCTGAGTCCGATTCCCTATACCAAAAAAAAAAGAAAAGAAAAGAAAAGAAAAAGAAATTCAGATCTTTCCAACAGACATAAATCTGTAGTCATTTGATGACAGTGAACATGCCATCTTCAGCTCAGAAGTGCCTTGCTGGGGCTCCCGTCCCTGTATTCCAGATGGAATCTTTCCACAAGTCTTGCAGGAAGTGAATCTGCCTATTCTGACCAAGGAGGAGTGTGCAGCAGCTCTGTTAACCATAAAGAAGCCTTTCAGTGGGAAGACCTTTCTCTGCACAGGCTCCCCAGAGGGAGGGAGTGACGCATGTCAGGTGAGTGGGAACCGCGGCTCTGCCCTCAGCTTTGTTGTCCAGCGAGGGGCAGATATAGGCTGACTCCTGGTAAAGCTGCAATGTGGGAAGGAGAGTCAGGACTCGTCAGAATAAGAGGACAGGTTGAACATTCTGTTTGAGCAGTGAATGTGAATTCAGAGAAGGTCCAAATAAAAGAGTTAAGGCCAAAGATAAGCTCAGAGCTCTCCAATTTCTAAAGGATTGCTGGTTCTTTCCTATTTAGAAATTTCCAACTTGTAGATGTTAGGATCTTTACTTTTCCTCCACACTTCCTGTTAACCAAGACTGAACCCCAGTCTCTTCACTGGGCAGGACTCCTGTGAGTCTGTAGCGTGAGACAAGAGAGGAAAGAAAGTCTGCTGTTTTGATGAAAACCTGGGATGGTGGAGATGGAGCTGGAATTGATAGATTCCAATGATATTCAAGGATCATTTGGGTATTGTGCTTGGCCGTTTTCTCAGGGCCTTGAGTTTCAACTACTAGAAGTGAGAAAATGTCACTGATCCTCATCTGGCATTCCTGTGGGGGAAAATGAGCTCTCCGCAGCATAGACACTGACAGTGGTGGTAACAGAGGCTTTTTCCTCCTGCAGGGAGACTCAGGAGGTTCACTTATGTGCCGGAATAAAAAAGGAGCCTGGACTCTGGCGGGTGTGACTTCCTGGGGTTTGGGCTGTGGTCGAGGCTGGAGAAATAATGGGCAGAAAAAAGATCAAGGATCTCCTGGGATCTTCACAGATATTAGTAAAGTGCTTCCCTGGATCCATGAATACATCCAAACTGGTAATGAAGCCACCACGCAAGGTTAAGAAGCTGCTGTTCTGCTAGGGCAGAGAGCACCAGGCAAGTCAGGACCACACAGCATAGCCTTTCACTTCTGTTCCCAGGGCAGCAGATAAGGATGTAAAATTTACTGTCCAAAACAGTAGCAAAACATGAAATGTGGTACAGTGCACAAATATTCAATGAAAAATGAATCCATCTGTTGTAGATTTTGTCAATCACCCGATAATATTTTTTATTACTTCTTGACTATCCTAGGAAGATACAGCAAGATGTAGCACATATCAATCAACCAGGGTCAATTTTGCCACCTAGGTAAAAATGTGGGGAAACGTTTTTGGTTGTCACTAATTGGCATCAGGCATGGAGGGGCCATGGATGCTGCTAAACAAAGTGCAATGCAACACCCCAGACACTTCTTGCGCCAAATGTTAAAAGCACAGGAATTCTTGACGTAGAAGCACATTGGAAGGGCCAGGGTCTACACAAAACCTTCTGCTAAACTGGTCAGGGAATAAATTTCAATCTCTTCAAACCCAGCTCAATTGTTTTTGGTGTTTTTCTTGTTTTGTTTTGTTTTGTTTAACTGTTGTCTTCCAGTCTCAGACAGGCTTTTCAATCTTCCCCAGTGAGATTAATTCACATTAATTCAGTAGGAATTTAGATTTGTTTCCAAGAGTGTGGCACATGGTAGTTATCTTAGCCATCAGTTCAAGTTGTAGCTGTTCCAGAAAATTTTTTTGAGCATATAGGCAAGTTATTTCTTTATCTAGCCTCTATTCTTGTGTAACATAACTTCTTCTTGCTCTCTGTAATTGCCAAGTTAATCATGACTCTATCTTAAGGTCACTCAATAAAGTGAATAAAATCATCTCTGTAAAACACCAGGGTCTCTTTCCAGTTTTGTTCATTTATCACTTTTGTTCTTCCTACATGTTGGGTTTTTATTAGTTGTATATTGACTGTGCATTTGAGTGAAAGAGATGTTTGCTTCTTGAAATATCATTCAGGAGATCACAAGCTTTAAATCCTTTCTTTTTCTTTCCCAGGGCATCAGAGGAAGAGCTTCAGGGGTAAGTATTGCTTGCAGTCTCCTCCACCCCCAATATGAATTAACATTTCCAAACATCAGGCCCCTTTACAATCAAGTCTTCCTTTGCAAATTTCCATGCTGACTAGGTACAAAAATACCAGGTGCATCCCCTGCTGGTCTGGGCTGTTTCCATACCCAGGATGAGCCCTGGATTCACTCCCATTCTCCTTCTTGCAAATCCAGAGCACCATCTAATTCAGCAAATTATTCATTTTCTAAACCCTAGCTTTGTTTTTTATTTTTTTCTCATTGAGTTGAGTTTATTGGTGCATTTTAGGTACACAGTAAAGTTGCATTTATCATTGGAATCTTGTACCTTTACACGACAGGTCTTGGTTCTCATTTTTTCCCCATACCCCTGCCCTTCCCTCACCCCCTCCACCCTTCCCTATCTAAAAAGATGTTGCTTCCATTTTTTCCTTTTCTCATACTTTTTCTTTTCCCTTCTTTCCTTTCCCCTACCCTTCCCACTTCCCCTACTCCTTTAGCTCTTTTCTTCCTATTTCACATGATCAATTATACAATTTGAACCTTATTTACACTTTTAGTTTTTCATACAAGAGAAACTATTTGGTATTTATACATGTGTGTCCTAATTACTTCACTTAAGAGTACGGCCTCAACCTGCATCCATTTGGCTATAAACGGTTTCTCTAGTTTCTCTTTCTTTATGGCTGAGTAGTACTCCAGTTTATAGAAAAAACACATCTTTTTATCCAGCCTCCAGTTGGTGTACAATTGGCCTGTCTCCAAGTTTTAGCTATTACAAACTGGGCCACTATAAACATGAGTGTGCATATATCACTGTGGTATGATTCTTTTAATTCTTTTGGAAAGAATAAAGCAGAGGAATAGCTGGGTCAAATGGAACCTCTAATCCTAGTTCTTTGAGCTATCACCATATTGATTTCCACAGTGGTTGCAGCAGTCTGCACTCCCACAACAGTGGGTTTCTCCCACAACCCCTGCCAGAATTTGTTATTGGTTGATTTCTTAATAGCAGCCATTCTTTCTGGGGTGTTGTTTTCATCTGCATCTCTCGAATGACTGGTAATCAAACCCTAGCTTTGAATCAGAGACTCCAGGGAAGTTGTCCTTACTGATATATGGGACTCACCTGTGTTACACTACAACTCTGCAATGAATTAACCCTGTGATTTCTGGCAAGCTCCTTCTTGTTTCTGGGCCTCAAATATCTCATCCATAAAAAAAAGAAGCTGATGTTCCTCAGACAAAGGACTATTATCCAGAATATATAAAGAACTCAAAACAATCAGCCCCCCTCAAACATAAAGACCTGATTCAAAAATGGACATCTGAAATGAACAGACATTTCTCAGACAAAGAAGTCAAAGCAGCAAGTAAATATATGAAAAAATGTTCCACATCACTGGTCATTCGAGAGATGCAGAGGAAAACAACACTGAGATTCCACCTCACCACACAAAGAATGGCTGCTATCAAGAAATCACACAATAACAAATGTGGGCGGGGTTGTGGGGAGAAAGGAACCCTTCTCCATTGTTGGTGGGAGTGCAGACTGGTGCAACCACTATGGAAATCAATATGGAGATACCTCAAAGAGCTTGGACTGGAGGTTCCATTTGACCCAGCCATCCCTCTGCTGGGTATCTTTCCAAAAGAACTAAAAGAATCATATCACAGAGAAGTATGTGCACCCATGTTTACAGTGGCACAGTTTGTAATAGCTAAAACTTGGAAACAGCCTATTTGCCCATCAGTTGGAAACTGGATAAAGAAGATGTGGTTTTTCTATAAAATGGAATATTACTCAGCCATAAAGAACTAGAGAATATATTCATTCATTGGAAAATGGATACATATTGAAGATATACTCCTAAGTGAAATAAATAAGTCACACATGTGTAAATACCGAATAGTTTCTCTGGTGTGAATAATCTGCAATAATACAGAAGATCCTAATAAGATTACTGACATTGAGAAATGGGAAGAAAGGAGCTAAAGGTGTAGGGAAGGTGGGACAGGTAGGGGAAGGATAAAAAGGGGAAAGAAAAAATGTGAGAGAATGAAAAGATGAAAATAAAGTGTTTGTAGATGGGGAGGGGAGGAAGGGGTGAAGGGAGGGCAGGGACAAGGGGAAAAAATGAGAACCAAGACGTCATGTAGGGGTACAAGATCCCAACAATGAATGTAACTGTACTGTAGCCCTAAAATGTACCAATAAACTCAATTAAAGCTGAAAAAAACATGTCTTCTGGAAGATGACAGGAGGCCAAGGCAGGGAAATCACAAGTTTGAGGCTAACCTGGGCCACATAGTGAAAGCCTGTCTCAAAAGATATACATACGTACATGGTAATGAATGTGGGTTACTTTAGCTTTAGCGGTACAAAAATCAAAGCTATAAAAAAGATCTTTGCACAGATATACATACCTTTTCTCATGACTACATATATATAACTTTATGCACACTGTGTGAATTATCTGGAGGATAACAGTGAAATTAGTGGGTCAGTTTTATTCTGATAGGTATTACAAATTGTGCTTTCAAATTTTCACAACCTTCACCTTGCTTCACAGTGAGTACTACTTCCAAACTCTTTGCCACATCAAATACTATCAAAATTCTGAATTGGTTTTGTGGCTCTGACATATCCTGCCGGCATTTCTATTAGCTTTCTATTAGTGATGATGTACATTTTAATATCTTCAGTAGAGTTTTAAAAGTTTCCTTTATATAGGGAAGATGTATTTCTTATTAACATTAGTTCTGTGGTTTAAGAGACTATTCCTTCCATTATGCTCTCTTTATATTTGTTATACTAAATTTGAAAATAGCTGCCATTCTGATAATTCCTCTTACTTCTAGTCACGATAGTGAATTCTCTTGAAATAAAGCTGTTACCTGCAAATAATAATAATTTTGTCTCCTCTGTTTTAAATTGTATAGCTCTTAGTTGTCCAACATTAATTAATTCAACTATCTCAAAATAAAAATCAAAAGGTCTGGAGATGTAGCTCAGTGCTCCCTGGTTTCAATTCCCAGTACTACTATTTAAAAACAAACAAACAAATAAATAAATAGGATATGGAAAAAAAAAAGAAGAAGAGAAGCTGGACCAGATGGTCTCTAAGGTGTATTTAGCTGAAATCTTAAACGGTTCTTTGAGCCCGTTGAACTACCAACAAAAGGTAAATATAGTAATATAGTGCCCCAAGAGTTTAGATTAGGGAGAAGCTGCATCTAGCTGAAAACAAACAAACAAACAAATAAATGGAGACTTTGAAACATAGATTTTGTTTTAAGTTGAACCTTGTCAGAGGAAGAAGATTTTGTCAGGTGGAAATAAGGTATGGTAAAGAAATGAGTCCAGCTGAAGGAATCATCCCTATCAGAAGCTAGGCATTGAAGGTTAGGCACAGAAAGATGTAGGGTGTACTAGAGACCAGTAAATCAGCCAACATAAATTACGTGTAAGATGTGTAAAAAAGGTCTACAAGGGAAAAGAATATGGTTAAGATAATTTGAAATCAAATTATGGAAAGTTCACACATTGGTCAGAAAAGTTTGGAATTTATTGAGTAATAAAAAGATAATTCATTGGATGCACAGATAAACCCTATAATTTAATGATATAAGAACAGCATATCGGAGGTGGATTAATGGGAGACTAATTCAAGGAGGATTGATAAAATGATGTGTGAGTGCAAGAGACAAAAAATAAAGGTTCTAGCAAAGATAATGTCAAGAAAATGAAGAGGAAATGGGAGAAAAAATTATAACTTTTTCTAGTCAATTTTAGAAATGGTAGTGAAAGAGGAAAAAAATCAAACTTGATTCTTTGATGATATCAAAGTTATGAGCATGAGGGACTCAGAAAAGGACACATGAAAGCAAGAACACAAAAGTGGATGTAATTTCTCTGACTCAGAGAAATTATACTAGAAGCAGGTTGAGTTACAGGAGAGATAGTTGGGAAACAACTGTACAATTCCTCTCAAGTTTATAAAAGTAGAGACAATAGTTGAACCCTAAGGTACAAATCCTGATCAGCAGAGGGCTCATAGAGAGAGAGAAGATGAACCAGGATAGAACCAGGGAAATAGCTTTATCTGTAAGATGAATTTAGGGGATCTGAGAAAGAAGAGTTAAGGAGAAAAGAATATCACAGGATCTCAAGGTGAAGCAAGCTATAAAAAATGAACGAAAACAGAATGATGCACCATAAACAACAAAGAGCAAGAAGAAGCAGGGGCTCTGGTGTCCTCAGCTTCTGGAAGCAGGTGCTATTGTGGACAGCTGTTACTGTCAGCCCTGATTCTGTGGTTTTTCCCTCCAGCCTCATGCTCTGAGCAAGACGGTACAGTCAGCCAGTCTGAGGGGGAGTTGCACTTGCCAGAAAGCATCCACCTGTACTATGACAGCAAGCAGTGAGTAGCCCCCTCTGCCATCCTCCCTCAGACGCCCACCTGCAACCCAGCTGTGCCCATTAACTGAACCGTGATAGTCACTTTCTGTCTAGCGGTGACATCCTGTCTGTGTGTCTGCCTGCAGGATGTGTGTCTGGACCCTGCTGGTTCCAGAGGAAATGCATATGTTGCTCGGTTTTTTTCTGCTTGGATATGGAGGCTTGCTACCACAGTTATCTGGCGATGTATTCTTTAGAAGACAGACTCATTGGCGAGTGGATTTTCACATTGTCAAATGGAAAGCAGTGCTAAGTGGGTTTACAGGTTACAGTGTGTTTAGCACTGAATTATCTGCAAATGCCACACTTCTCATTCCAGTTTTGAGATTCAGACTGAGAGTGAGGAGGAACTGAATCTGAGT